TAGTAGCCGTACGGGCCACGCCGACTCAGGAGTATCCAGATTGTCTGGCCACTGCATATGATCGAGTGAGTAGGATGTGGCAAGGAGACTCACAATCTCTCCTATGAAGCGTATTGACCGGTAAGGCATCTCGGTCTTATGGCGATACCTCGAGACCTTGCTTCGGTAGCACCCGCAGATGAGTGATGCGCTGCCTGCTGGTGTGCTGAAAGGAGGGCGACATCCAATTTCGTTAGCTTGTCACCCGAAGGATGACTCTTGCGGGCAGAGTCCTAAGAGAGAAAGTGGGCGGTGAACGCGAACTTTCGGCCTGCCATAGCCTCATATCCCGGCATCCTAGGCGTCCTGTCAGCCGGTGTCCAGCACCCCAGGATCCGATGTACAGCACTCCTTGGTGACGCTATGACCAGCGGATCAACGTGACTTCCCACGTTGAGAAGGAACCTGTGGGATGTGTTGCTTGTCATGCTGATGTGCGTGACATAAAACATACTTATCACGCGTCTCTCGTGACATGATGGCAGGGTAAGAAGCCTACCCCGCTGAGGCATGGTGCTATAAATGCCTGCGGCTCTGTCTCGGTAAAGCAGTTAAGTATCCGATCTGCTGAGCGACGAGACGCGCGATCAAGCCACGCACTGCAGACACAGCGGCGAGCGCCTCATCTTCACGGATCACGTAAGCATACCACGTATCTAGTTAACCCCTGCACAGACGCAAGCAACTCATACAGGGTGTTAGTTTAGTACTCATTTAGCTGTTTGAGTTCATTCGTGTATATTTCTGATACCAGCGACAACGCTTTTGGGGTGGGATTTTGTGCCACCATCTTTTTAGTTCACCTAATGCCTGTTGACTAACGGCCGAATAAAGCCCCGGGCATATTCCGGCAGTGAACACTTTTATCAGCTTGGTTCCTGGTTTTATGGGTTATGCTATTTCTTTGTGTATGAACACCTAGGACTACAATCCAGTGTCGAACTTTCATTCGTCGTCACAACTAGACGTAAAATCGTATTGCAATATACTATACTTATATATATATATATAATGATAGTATATATATACTCAGAGCGTATAATGACAAAATTGTTTTTTGTCATTATACGCTCCTGAATATTTATATATATATAGACTATATATATAGACGAGACGAAGAAGAAGAGAGAGAGAGAGAGAGAGAGAGGAGAGGGAGAGAAAGATTAAGAGGAGAGAGGAGGCAGAGACGATGAGAAGAGAGGAGGAGCATAGACTTTCAGAGACAGAGAGAGAGAGAGAGAGAGAGAGAGCAGAGAAAACAGAAGGGAAGAGATAGGAAAGAGAAGAGAGCAGAGGTGCTCTTTGAGAGAGAAGAGAAGAGAAATAGCAGGACGAGAGAGAGCGCCGCAGAGGATAGAGAGAGATATTATAGAGAAGAGGACAGAGAGTGAGAGATTAGAGAACGACGAGCGGAGGAGGGAAGGAGAGAGAGATGATAAATACGTATACTAGATATTATATATATAGAGAGAGAGAGAGAGAGAGAGAGAGAGAGAAAGAGAAAGAGAAAGCGAGAGAGGGGGGTGTTTCTTGATGTTATAATATTATTCTACACTCGGTATCACTAATAATGACTAACACATTTTTAACACGCTCCCTGAAAACCTGATGCTTACATTAATAAATTCTATTATAATATTTGTCTTGTCACATGAAATAATAACCTGTATTATAACATTTATTATGACTATTATTATATCCTGTATTAACAAACTCTATTATAACCTATATTATTACCTATGTGTACCTTGACGGTGCGTTAATTAGGTGTAATGACGGTGCGTACCTGTACGTCAGGCTTGGCCATCAGGTGAAGGATTCCCCAGCGTAACGTCGTCTGCGTTGTCTCCGTAGAAGCCATGAACAGAATCATGATCGCTATGCGCAGCTCTTCGACTGTTAGATGAAGATAAAACGAATATAGTAAATAATAGAAGATAGGTGAGAGAGGAGAAGAAATAAAGAAGAAGAAATAAGAAGAAGAAGAAGAAGAAGAAGAAGAAAAAAAAGAAGAAGAATGTTGTATACTTGACAGAACAGCGAACGGAAATTCGGAATCAATTGAATAGATAATAGATATGATATGGAACATTATATAGATTACTCAGTATATAACATGGCAGTAATTATTGATTGTCAGTTGCCCATGCCCTAGCAATAATTATAGATTATAAATTATCTACAACTTAACAGTAATTGTCGATTTCTTCGTTTATCATATGTCATAACAATCCACGTCACGTGTTTCTGCGCGTACGCGCGTATGACGTCATCGATAATCGATGACTCACTCACCGGTGAAGGTCGTGTCGATCGTACCCTGCTGCTTCGCGCGCTCGATCTCGATCAGGAAGGCGTCGATGAAGTCGCGCGGACTATCGACGTCCAGGGTAGCTCGGTGCTCGTCTATGCGCTTGTTGATGAACTCGACCTCCTTGCGACGATTTTCGAGCAACTTGTCGACTTTCGTCAGATTCGGAAAGTGACGTAGGAACGGCAGGAAGTTCACGGCTCCGGCAAACTCGGCCAATCGCAGACTGTCCTCGAACAGCTGGAACATGTACTTGAACTCCGCGTCGCCATGTTCGAAACGTTCTCCGAACACCATCGTGCAGATGACGTTTGCGATGGCGACCGTTAGATGGCAGTGCGGGTCGAAAGCGGCGCCATCTTGGTTGCGGATGATGTCCACCAGGGCGCGCGCTTCGATGCGCGTGCGTTCCTCGATGTTGTGTTTTCCCATGCCGAGATTTCTCAGGCATCTGATGTTGAACTTGCGCTGTTCCTGCCACTGTTTGCCCTCCCGGCTGAATAGACCTGAAACACGGGAAAGAGGGAAGGTGTTAGGAGGAAGGGAAAAGTCGCAGAGAAGGTTGTTAACATTTCTTTAATTAAAATCTGGAGTTTCATTAAGGAGTGTGCGAATCCCATCATCATTCCCCAATCCCGCGTGCGCTCACGTTTCTGCAAGAACAAAATTTATCTCCATTCTCGCTGCGTAATAGCCGACATTTTAAGTTTGTAAACTCAATACGCTTGAGTGTTACATGTGCGTGGATTTCGAAAGCCGGTGCCAAGGATGGTCATTTTTTATTTTAGCAGGACAGCTTCGAACAATAAATGTCCCAGATTTTATAAACCCGAATGACCCTACCCACATAAACTGTTCTGATCGTGACTGGAGTTAGGACAAAATTCATCGCCTTTCTCGCTACACAATTGGTGGACATTTTAAGTTCGTAGATTCGAGACTGTTCATGTTACATGTCATGTGCTTGCCATTAGTTTCGAAGGCCAGTGTCAAGTATTGTCTTTTTTTTTCTTTTGTCGGTAACAATAAATATCCCAAATTTTATAAACTCAAATGACCCTGAACAAATAAACTGGTTTGTTCCGACAGACGCCACTGTAACGACGACGCAGACGGCCGAACAACAAAATTTCGCTACAAAATATTTTCATCACGTGCCGATAAAAAAGAATGTTGATTGGCAATTTATGAAGAGTCGCACGATCATGTCGCTGGAAATTAAAAACTATATTAAGTATTTTTTAAGATTCTTGTCGTTACGGTTGACGCCAGACGTGTGTGTGTGCAGAATCCCACTGGAAACAATAGACTATGATGTTATAAAATGTCGTCAGACGTTACGGCTTTGTCGCAGCAATGTCCGCCTCCCCCCGTGCGTTCGAAGCTTGCACGTGAGCATCAGATGAACATACACGTGACTGCGCACGTGACTGCGCACGTGAAGTGAATACGCCGCCGGCGCCGCATCACTCCCGCATCACTGCGCGCAACCGAGCGTGACTACTTTTTTATAGGGCGATCGCGTCCCCGGGCAAAATGATTACGATCATGTAGTTGTTGTTGCTGCCGACGTCGCCGCCGCCGACGACGACGTCGCGGACGACGACAAAGAAATGACCGCCCGTGACGCATCAGATGCCAGGGTTATGACTAATCAGGCGAGGGGCCAGATAGAGAGATGAGGAGGAGGGGGGGGCTCGGTGCCCCGGTGTAGTTTTACATGGAGACAGAGATGCGTGAAGAAGGCGGGAAAAGTTTACGGGGTGAATCGTGATCGTCACCGAGAGAGGGCACTGCGGGCGAGTGGTCGTCGCCCTGCTTGATATGCATGCGCCACCTCAGAACCAGATTAGGAGGCGCTACTGCGCGTGCCCGTGCAGCAGCCCCTGGATCGCGAGAAGGCATCCCCGCATATCGACGAAGCTGCTATACATCGAGATATTGTTAAAAACTATAATGGCAACTTTTTTACAAGTGGCGCCACGACCGATTTTTTGTGCGTAGTAAGACATAGGCGACTTAATTTTATTAAACTCGTGTTTATAACTGTTTTCACTGACGTGTTAACATCAGTTTCCGTTCAAAATAATCGTCTCTAAAATCAATCGATAATTTATTTCATTTATCCAGTATATATTTATTATATTTAGCAGTAATTTTACATTTACAAGCATCAGAACGCGCGAAAAAAGATTAAAACGGTTGGAAAAACATGAGAAATCTTTGCCGTAAATGTGCGGGTCAAGATCCCCTGCATGTGAAGTCTGCTAGAGGGCGTGATAGGCGTATCTTGTTCCTCGGTCTCCTATTATTCAGCAAACGATAACAAAAAAATGGTTTACGTAATCGCTTTCTCGGGAGCGTCTGGTCGACTTTTTTATTATTCTGCGGCCGTTTTTTTTATCTTTGCTATTTGACCCGCGAGGCACAACTGTCTCTCTTTCTCCCTGTCTCTCTCTCTCTCTCTCTCTCTCTCTCTCTCTCTCTCTCTCTTTCACTCTTTGTCTCGTTGGTTGCGTCATTTTTATAGTCGCTAAGCGGGTTGCGTAAAACTCGCTCATCACTGCGACCTTCATTTTTTCATGAGGTCGCTTAACTATCACACACACACACACACACACACACACACACACACACACACACACACACACACACACACACACACACACACACAATCTCTCTCTCTCTCTCTCTCTCTCTCTCTTTCTGTCTGTCTCTCTTTCTTTCTTACTCACACTTTCTTTTAAGAATATATTGTTCCTAATATAAGTATAAACGTATTATGGCAACGTTCGTAAACATGTATATCAACGTAAGAAAGTTATGTTCGCAAGAAAAATTCAAACGCAAGATGGCTGCGTTCGTGAACGTTCGAAACGTGGAACGTGAGACGTTCGTTTCGCGCCGCGTTGTTCCTGGCTATCAGGCGCCCCGCGGGTCGGCGCAGCAGACGAACGGTCGCGGCTGACTAGTGATCCCTGGCGACCTCTGGCCGAGCAGCTTCTGTAGCTCGGCGCTCGGATCGTGTCGCGACCGCGGCGCAGACGATCCGGCGGATGTGACGTCACCAGCGACGCCATCTTGGATGCGGCCGGCGGCTTCTCGGAGTGTGAAGTGCTGCAGGACGGAGGTGAGAAGGAGAAACAGAGTGTTCTTTGCCATACCGCTTCCCATGCACGTCCGTGGTCCTGCGATAATGGCGACAATAACGTCAAACTTCAATATCCCATAACACTTCTTTTTGATAATTGATAATTGAAACCTGCTGGGTTTCGTTCGGAAGGTGTCATGCGTATTTCTCTGATTGTCTCTAGAATTGTGCAGTCAGGTCATCATATAATTACTTATCTTAAATTATATTAAATAGTATTAATAATAATAATAATAATAATAATAACAATAATAGCCTTCATCACATAATAAACATCTATATGGTTAAACCTAATTAATACGTGATTGATTAGAAATAGATGGGAAATTCGACGGAGCCAAACGAACCTGCGCCAAAGGGCATGAAGCTTTCTGGTATGAATGTGTTTCCGTCTGAATCCAAAAATCTTTCTGGGTGGAACTCTTCCGGTTGCTTCCAGTAACGCGGATCTCTGTAAGCATAAAGTTAGAAATGTGTGATGCATGCGATCAGTAAAGCTCCACCATTGTAACGGTGCAACCAAAAAACATTTATCTATCTTCACAAACAAGAAGATTGAAGCCGAAGGTAGCGCAGCGCGAAGAGAGCCAGCTAGACAGACACAGAGAGAGAGAGAAGAGGAGGAAGGGAGAGAGAGAGGGGAGAGAGAGAGAGAGAGAGAGAGAGAGAGGGGAGAGAGAGGGGAGAGAGAGAGAGAAAGAGAGAGAGGGGAGAGAGGAGAGAGAGAGAGAGAGAGAGAGAGAGAGAGGGAGAGAGAGAGAGAGAGAGAGAGAGAGAAGAGAAGAGGAGAGGGGAGAGAGAGGGAGAGAGAGAGAGAAGAGAGGGGAGAGAGAGGGGAGAGAGTGAAGAGAGAGGGTAGAGAGAGAGAGCGCAGCGCGAGAAAGAGAAAGAGCGAGCCAGACAGAGAGAGCGCGTGAAAAGAGAGCGAAAAGGGGCGAGACGCGAAGACAGAAAGAAAGAACGAGGGTGAACAGAAATAGAACCATATGTGTGGTATAATAGATGGTTATAATATGGTGGATACAAATAGATTTTGTCGTTTATACGTCTGCATGTCCAGCCTGTTCTGCTAGTATCTTATGACCAAATACGACATACCATATATAACGCTCTCCTATGACGACTATTTTGTCAGGTAGAAGATTCCTTCCTATGACAAAAAGTTGTTGTACAATGTGATGGTGCGCAGTCATAGAAGTTTAGAGCGCTATTATGAACGCAAGGCAGTAAATTTCAGACTGTAAAGCGAAGCGAAGTTTGACTCGGCCAATATTTCTGCCATAAGGAAGATATCTCGAACTTATGACAAATAGTGGTCATAGGAAGAGCGTATATGCGTATGTCGTATTTGTCATAAGATGCCTAGCAGAACATGTTGGCATGTCGTCGCATTAGAGAAACCCACGAGCGTGGAAACCACAAACATGTTTACGATGTATCAATATACACGCGATGAATAACATCGAATGTAGATGCTAAGACTTTAGGGCTAAAAACATCTGCTCAGGTTTTTCTTTCGGCTTAGACCTGTTTGCTTTTCAGCAGGCTATACGTGGAAGCGTACAAGACCGCCTATAATCTGTAGTACAATGATGTTGTTGTCGATAACTCACACATAAGAGCAAATAAGAAAATAGGAACAGATGTGAATAACTGTACTTGTTACTTGACATTGTCGGTCGATACGCGTATTGC